ACGTAAGACGCTGCTGACGTGTGTCTGGTGTGTGTGTGTGTGTATTCTGGTTCTGTTGTGGATCCGCGTTCAGTGCCGCCGCTGACGTAAGACGCTGCTGACGTGTGTCTGGTGTGTGTGTGTGTGTGTGTATTCTGGTTCTGTTGTGGATCCGCGTTCAGTGCCGCCGCTGACGTAAGACGCTGCTGACGTGTGTCTGGTGTGTGTGTGTGTGTGTGTATTCTGGTTCTGTTGTGGATCCGCGTTCAGTGCCGCCGCTGACGTAAGACGCTGCTGACGTGTGTCTGGTGTGTGTGTGTGTGTATTCTGGTTCTGTTGTGGATCCGCGTTCAGTGCCGCCGCTGACGTAAGACGCTGCTGACGTGTGTCTGGTGTGTGTGTGTGTGTATTCTGGTTCTGTTGTGGATCCGCGTTCAGTGCCGCCGCTGACGTAAGACGCTGCTGACGTGTCTCTGGTGCGCCCGAGCTTCGTTTACAGTCTGAGGGAGACGCACGCTGGAAACAAAACAATCTTCGCAAACATGTCTAAGGATTTCCACACAGAGGAAGACTTGCATTTTTTTGCCCAGCCATATTTATTTGAACCCGAATACACGGACGCACCAGACACACGTCAGCAGCGGCACTGAACGCGGATCCACAACAGAACCGGAAGACAATACAATGCTGAATAAAGTCCTAGTTTTTGTTTATTTTTGGACCAAAATGTATTTTCGATGCTTCAAAACATTCGAACTAACCCACTGATGTCACATGGACTACTTTGATGATGTCTTTATTTCCTTTCTGGACAAGGACAGTATACCATACATACATTTACGATGGAGGGACAGAAAGCTCTCGGACTAAATCTAAAATATCTTAAACTGTGTTCTGAAGATGAACGGAGGTCTGGCGGGCTTGGAGCGACATGAGGGAGAGTCATTAATGACATAATTTTCATTTTTGGGTGAACTAACCCTTTAAAGCTCCAGTCCGTAACTTTTTTAAGTTGAAAATAATCCAAAATAATTATATTAAAAAAAACTTATTCTGCCAGTGGTCAAAACTATCTGCTTGCCATAGCTAGATTCAAAACGGTTAGCTTGTAATAATGATTTTAATTCCAGTGGTACTGGTGGGTTTCCGCGGGAAATTCGAGCGTGTCTTTGCGTCATGACGTCACACCCGTACACATAAAGAAGGAGTTTCGGCTAGCCGGCTATACTGCGCGTGACGAGATGTTTAGATGTATAGGCTTTTCTCGCAGCACTTTACATGATTAAACTTATGGCGGATCCAGAAAGATCCAAACAACAATCATCAGTGTCAACTGGAGATTCAGCAGTTATAAAACCCAAAAGACTTCGTACTTCGGATTTAAGGTGGCTAGAGAAAGAGAAAGAAACCGTCTCATGCGAACACAAGGATTTAAACATCGGCGGGGCTTTTGAAAAGTGCGTGAACTCCGTGTTTTGAAGGGGTTCGAAACGGAAAAAGAGACGGCTTTTTTCTGCTGAACAAGTAAGACATTTCAATAGTTCAATCGTGTAACAGTACGTTTTCTTAATTCACAGTTATGGAGTTTCCTTTGTTGTGCCTTTCTCGTTTTGCTATTATGGAGAATATGAATTCTGAACTACACAGGTAACCATAAAACACTTTAAATTTAACATTAGTCACGCTATGCTGATGTGATGTTGTTAACATGAATTTGAGAACAAAGTAGGCTATAATTTGCACGGTTGCTGTAAATCGCGTTGATTAAATCTAACGAAGCTTATCATGTCGAATGCTTTTTCCCCCTTAGTTGGTCAGAACAAAAATGGATGTTACTTACTTGTTCAGAAGACATTTTCTTATGAAAATTCTTATGTTGGTCAAACTTTCAAAAAGTGAATCTGTGATTCTGTATGACAGTATCCACACAGCGCGGTGACTGACAGCAGCACTCGCCTCAAAGCACTGTGTTCATCCGCGCTGTTTCATGCCGATTTACAACCCACGTAAAGATGATAATTCCGCGAATCACTGCAGTTACAGATTTCGAACAGAGAGATGGCGACAAAGAGGAAAAGCTACGGACTGGAGCTTTAAGAAAAGATTCCATACATTTTCCAAACATTATGAAAACGTTACTTTTGAATGTTCTCTGAATATTCTGAAGACTGAAACTAGTAACATTTAAAAAACCCTAGGCTATTTAAACGTCCAATAAAACAAATTATAGAAATAAAACATTGCATGAATGAGTTCATTTTTTTTAGCTAAGATTTTGGTTTACATTGGAGTTAGTGGAAAGCATAGACAGTAAAAGAAATGGACAGAGCCATCTCATTGGAACTCAGTTGAGACAGTTGAAGCCCACTTTTAGCGATTTTTGAGAACTTCCGTTCCTGACGCGCAGACTCAGACCGACTCAAACTAAGCTTGATGACGTGAGCAACCTGTCTGACAGACGTGAATCTTCTAGTAGCTGTGCGTGAAAATTGCCAACGTTAATCTTGCAGAGACGGGGAACTTGAGCAAAGAGTCCTTTATCGTGAGTGAGCAGGAGTAAGTATTCCGTTGCTTTTATGGACTCATTATCTATGGGCTTCTCTCTTGACGGGACGTCCCCCCGATTGGCTGCGAGCTTCTCCTCCTGTCTGTACGATAATTTCTGTACAGCGCGACAGAGAGTCGAGTGGTTATGACGCAATCGTTAGCCTATTTTTACTAAAACTGTTTCTACGGGGCCATAATGTAACATAGAAGGTAATGGAGCCATTTATACATTGTCGTGTTTCTTTAGAAATAAATAATGGACAAATGGAGTCTTTAAACGCCTCAGATGTAAAGTTATTCGCTGTCAAAGTGACGCCAAAATGAATGGTAGTCAATGGAAATGCTAACGCAAGTGAAGTTCTGCTACAAGATTGCGGCACCCGGCCGGCTTCAACTTCCGGTCGATGGATTACCCCCTTGGGTGGAAAGCTCTGTGCGTCTCACATTGACGCTAAAGGGTGCCATGTGCGTTGGTGGTAGACGCCAAAGGACGTGACCAAAGCGTAATGACGCCCTGGGAATGAGAACGGGTTGGATTTTGACAACATTATTAAAGGCCAGATAACCACGAACAAACGATCTATTGATGTTAGTGGAAATATTAAATGTTTTTTTATGCGAACATTAAGAGAACATTCCATTTGATCATTTTGCAAACATCAAGTGGACATCACATTTGATGTATAGGCTACTTTTGAATTAATATTCTGAAGTAGCCTAGCAACATGTAAAAAGATTAACCTCCAGCAAAAACTTTTTAGAAATTAGCTGTTCTATGAACAACGTAGGCTATAATAACGTTTTTGTGCTGACATTTTGAGAGCATTATGAAAGACCAGATGAAAAAACAAACAAACTATTAGGCAACTAGAAGAATGATAAAAGTAAAAGAAAAAAGTCCATATGAGCAAAATCTGCGTGGCGAATTGTTTCGTCCTCACGCGAAACTTCCGATCGCACGGATTGACTGGATTCCGCCAGCAAAAGTTCCCCGAACCACGGTAAATGTGACGCACCTTATCAGCACATATTGGGAACAACAACACTTGTGCTACAGGCAGCACTAACGTGAGGTATTGCTCATTAACGTCCCGTTTTGCATCGTTTACCACATGTTCATGTGTCTGACAGTGACAGCGCAATAGGCCTATGTTGAAATGTGTCCTATGATGACGAGTATTACAAAACTACAGCATTACTGAGCATCCTAAACAGAAAAGAGCGATACACTTCAGTTAAACACACTAAGAACTTAAACTTCAAAGTTAGTGCCAGGAGGACTTTATTTTTTTTAAAACACACATGTAGCCTACATTTCCTGAACCCCTGTGAGGTTATCTTCCTGCCACAGCTTCCGGTCACACAAGTTTTATTTTTGTGTCAGAGTCAGATGTAGGCTTGTCCGCAAATGATTATTCATTACATGATTTATTTATTTGATACATTACTAATACATGATTATTAAAAGTAGCTTTCTTGCACAAGTTTAATAGATTGTCACTAGATTTTGTAAGCAATATTATACATATTGAAAATGAAAGAACAAATAATTGTAATTGCTATCATTGCTGTGTTTGTTTTACTGAGGGACTAAAACAGAAACAATATTAGTGTTGTAACGGTAAAATTCGAAACATCCTGTTTCTTTCAGTTATGGGTGTAACTACTGCACCTTAACCTCAGTTGTGTTTTGTGGTGTGTGTGTTTTTTAAACTGATTTGTTTGGCAAAATCTAAGAATGTTAAAGCTTTAGCTACTTGTTTTAAATAAAGGCATAATTGAATAGTTAATGTTAATATTAATTATGTATTTTAATGCAGTTAAGTAATGCTCACTTGATTCAGCAGGGAGTGAGAGATTCTTACACTTACAGAAAGAGTTTTTTTTTCAGAATAGAGAGAGAGAGAGAGAGAGAGAGATTGAGAGAGCTTCCCTTCTCATCGATTGGTCGGCCCTGCCTAGTCCTTAGAGATATAAACTGCAAGTGGCAAGAGAAACAGAGCACATAACGGTTTGAAGGGATAAGGGCAACATTAACCTTAGAATAAAGGCAGATCCTTTTAATTGTCGGCAGCTGTTTGTTCTTTATTCCGTCCATGCAGATGATTTCCTCAGGATGTGTTTGTTTGGTTCACCTGACCTGCACTGTGCTTGTGTTTATCTCTCCGGTTCTTTTGGCTCCGATGCCGGACCAGTACTCCCGGGGTGTGGTAAGATGAGCCTTACTCTGCATTACTACAAGTTAAACTCTTTTTAAAAACAGAAAAAAAAACCATACATTGATTGTGCCATATAAGTGGGTTTGTTTGTTTTTTCGGGTTTTTTTTTGTTTCATGTGCATATGTTAGTTTTGCATGTGTGTATAATCCCTTTGAGACAGATGTAAATGAGTGGAATGTCAGGGATTTTTTATAGAGAGAGAGAGAGAGAGAGAGAGAGAGAGAGAGAGAGAGGGGGGGGGGGGGGGGGTCATTTCTAAGAGAATAGGGATTTCCACACCACAACAATAAATTATAATGACAGAAGGATGAAAATCTTTTTCAGAAGATTTTTTTTTCTTCCAAATGATGAACGATGAAACCACTGACAGCCAATCAGAATCAGAAATTTTATTGTACGTTGGTGTGGACGCTAATAGTTACTGTTATTGTTCTTATTGTGAACTGGCCTTTACACTTTAATCGAAATTGATAAAATGGCTGTATTCATGTGTATATTTGACTAAGTAAAATGAACATTTAGTGTGTGATTTCTCGTAGGACTGGTTGAGCAGGTATGGGTACCTGCCCCCTCCGGACCCCCGCACAGGGCAGCTGCAAACCAAAGAGGGCATTGAGAAGGCCATCAAAGAAATGCAGAGATTCGCTGGCCTCAAAGACACGGGCAGACTCGGTAAATGCAATGCGTGTGCCTCTCACTGAAAGCACTTCATCACATGCAGGAAATGGTCTAACGGCCTTGTTTCACAAAACTTTGAGAAGTCTTTTTCAGTGCCTTTTTTTCTTCTTCATTTATTTGTTCTTTTTTGTTCTAGATTTCCCTGCTTTTTTTCTAATCAAATTAAATCAAAACACCATCCCAGCTAACAGAAATATGTTCAAAGAACGTTTTGGTAATGTTCACATTAAGTTTCTGAATGTTCTCTGAACGCTCAAAACATCCCGTTTTAAAAACTTTTCTAGGTTCATTCTTGCTTGAACGCTAAGGGAACATTTCAATCATTTTGCAGACATAAAGAGAACGTTACTTTTGAATGTTTGAGTAGTAGTAACATTTAAAAAACATTATGCAAACATCCAACCAAATGTTTTAGGTAAAAACATTCCATGAACAATGTATAAATAATGTTTTTGTACTAACTTTTTGAGAACATTATTAAAGATCAGATGATTTCGAACTATGATTTTGTTGATAACTATGAGATAACCTTGCCACAACATTAGCTAAACTTCTGAGAACGTTCCATGTTAGCAAAATGATTGTGATTTTAACGGTAAAAGACTGTAAAAATGCTACAGTGCAAAACTGTTAATTGATTAACAGAAAGTTTCCTTACTATATACGGTAAATAACTGTGATAGATCTAACGGTACATTTAATGTAATTTTACTGTAAAATACCGTTAAATTTACAGTTTTTGAAAGTGAAAAGAAGAATTTACAGTGAAAAAACGTAAATTGACATTCCCACAATTCCTTGCGTGACACTTCACGTTTGATTTATTTTTGTTGAAATAACTATGTTTCTTCTTAGTTTTCTTAGTTATTTTCTAATCAGTTATGTAAATTAGGGTTTTATGTTACATTTAATGTTGTTAAATTAATGTTTATTGCATATTTAAAATGTCATGTGTGTTACCATGATGGTGTTTAATGTTTGTGCGAATAACACTGTGCAGCTTCAATATAATAGTATTAACTTTCTTGTGGAAGATTGCTTGTTATGAGCTTTGATTGATCATGTGACTCATCACTGCTGTGATGGTTGTTGGTTGTCAGTGTATTACAATGGTACAAAACAGATATTAATACTTTAATAGGTTGGTAAATTATCATTATATCAGATAATGAATTACGTTTTATTACTGTAAATTTTAAGTTAAGTCTGTAAAACCAAAAACGTTGATACCGTATTTTTGACGGTAAAGTTCTGGTAACCACAGCTGCCAGTTTTTTTCCGTAAAAAAAACAGGATTTTTTAGTTTTCCATTCTTGATATATCCAAGTGTAATGATGAGATTTAGAGTGACTTTACCTCATGCTGTGGTTGGTGGGTTCAATAAATTTCCTCTAGAGATAGAACTATTTCATTGTCTCTCCTCCTCACATGGGCTTTTATTACATGTACTGTAATGGACTCTGTATCCCTGAAGTCTATATATTGATCTGAGACCTTCTGTCCTGTGCTTCTCTAGACAGTGCCACCCTGAAACTGATGAGCACACCACGATGTTCATTGCCGGACATTATAGGGTTCGGGGACTTGCTGAAAAAGCGAAGGAGGAAAAGAAGATATGCCACTGTTGGACTCCGCTGGAAAAAGTCTGACCTCACATGGAGGTCTGCATCGCTAGACACACATGCGCAGCTAACAGGGAACTGTTTTCAGGACATTGTAAACAGACGTTCTCATAGTAATGTTAACAGAATGTTTGCTCACAGTTATCTGGTCTTTCATAATGTTCTCAAAATGTTTGCATAAAAACATCATTCTTAGAACTAATTTTCCCATTCCACTGCGCTACTTTTCCAACACGCGCGAGACGGACGTCTTTAACCGCCGCAGTGTCTCGCACATGACACGCGGCGCTCAAAAGCTCAAGCTTTTTTAAAAACTTGAGCTTTTTTCTGTCTGTTTTTTTCACAGAAGACAAATGCTTTAAAACAAGTGAAGTCACATTTATTTATATATTACTTTATACAATACAAATTGTATAAAGTTGCATAAAATTGTATTCATATTGTTTTGAAGCAGATCACGACACGTTAATAAACAGGAAAATAACAGTGTTAATATTGTACAATTCATAAATTATGAAACATGAAATTTAAGCTGTAAAGCAGCTCTACTGAAGATATTATTATTTAGCTCAGTTTAGTGTTGTTTCAGCGTTGCAGCGTCTCGCGCATGATACGGCACGCTAAAAACGTGGCGCTCAAGCTAAAATACTTTTTAAAAAACTTGAGCTTTTTACGTTCCACGACCTGCGTGTCGCATTTTAAACAGCAAAAACACATTCTGTGTCAACCGACCCTTACAGCTTTGCTTTAGTTGAACTTTGTTCCAGAATGTTCAGAGAACTTTCTAAAGTAACTTTTCCAGAATGTTTGCCGGATAAACATTTTGACTGTTCAGAGAACATTCAGAAATAATGTTATCATAACTTGATGGGAACATTAGCAAAAGGTTCTTAGAACACATTTTTTGTTAGCTGGATGGTCACTGCCAAGCGTAATAACTTACAATAACCCTTTTAAAATATGCAGTCGCTAACTTATCTCTGTTTTTCCTACTAGCATCCAGAATTACCCATCTCTCCTTCCATCCCTTAAACCCAATGCTGTACACTATATAATGACCCATGCCTTTAAAGCCTGGAGTGATGTCACCAACCTCAAGTTTCAACAAGCTGCTTCCCCAAGCGAGCAGAACACAGCCGATATTAAGATCTCTTTCGCCCGCTCGCTCCACGATGACGGATATCCATTTGATGGGAAGGGAGGGACACTTGCTCATGCCTTCTTCCCAGGGGAGTATGATCTTGCTGGAGATACACATTTTGATGATGAGGAGAGCTGGACCTACGCAGGCAAGATATACAAGCAGTACTAAATATTCACTGATTGATTGATGAATAACAGTCCCAAAGCTGAATATTTGTGGATTAATCAATTTCAAGACATTTGCAAATGAACTGGTTTTACTTTTTTGCTTTTAGGATATTTTGTCTGTTTTTTTTTTTTTTTCACAGAAGAAAAAGTCAAACCAAGTGAAGTCACATTTATTTATATTATTATTACTTTATACAATACAAATTGTTACTGAATACTAAATGAAGTTCATGACGTAAGTTTTGGGCGGATGGGTATATAAGCAGCATCTTAGCTTAAATCTTCCGATTACGCATTCTCTAAAGCATCCCATAAGCCTGTTTTTTAAATTTTTATGTATTTCTCAAAAATTTATTTAAGAGCAAACTTTCAATCATGGACAGCAAGCCAAATCTTTTCACCTATGCCATATGATTATATGATCAAACAAACTCATGAATTGTATTTTAAATCCAAATATATTTACCCCCCCCCCCCCCCTAATTTCAACATTAAATTCTCCCAAATTTTAGGGCTTATGAGTAGCCTAAAATGGCATATTTGTACTGTATAACAAAGAAGTATTGCTGTTATTTCCATCATGCCAAGAATTTTAGAAAACATTTGACGGAAATGAGAAGTGAAGCACATCTCGTTAACAGAAACTTTTTTTCTCAGGTTTTCTTGATTTCAGAGGTTAATAATCTTAGTTTTTTAAGTTCAGTTTTATTAGACTGCTAGCTAACTTATGTTAAAAAAGTTCAAGACCTGGAGAAAAAGAAACGTTAAAAAAAAGTAAGTATTGTCATTACCATCACGTCATCTTTATTTTAGGGCATGTGATACTAAATCCTTTAGATTAGTTTTTCATGCTTTTAAGTCAAAAGTGTCCTTCATTGACGAATCACCCACTTATAAAATGATATTATACATAAATGAGAATCTCCTCTTATTCTCTCAATGTTTTCAGATGACAGCGGCACTGATATGTTCTCGGTGGCTGTGCATGAATTTGGTCATGCCCTCGGTCTCTCTCATTCCTCCTCTTCTCCTTCCATCATGCGGCCGTATTACCAGGGTGCTGTTGGAGCTGATATCGCATCTTACACTCTTCCAGCTGACGATCGCTATGCCATTCAGTCAATCTACGGTAGGAATATGCTCTTAATAAGCTGTTTGCACCTGCTCTGGAAGGGATTGTTCACCCAAAATTGAATATTGTGTCATCATTTGCTCATCTTCAGGTCTTTTAAATTTTGTTTGCTGATATTTTCTTTCTATGGAACACAAAGGAAAAATCACATTCCTTTTCTCCATGTACATCAGCTCCATGTACATTTCAGCATGCAATCAGCATTTTCTTTTTTTTTCTTTTTTTTTTGTTATTGAACTATTTCTTTAAATGTGCTAAGAATGTGAAGTTAAATAAAATGTAAATGTAACACTTTTTAATGGTTTGAATTCATTATCTGTAAAATTATCTGTTCATTATCATTAATTACTCACCCTCATGCCGTTCCAAACCTGTAAGACTTTCGTTCATCTTCGGAACACAAATGAAGATCTTTTTGATGAAATCTGAGAGCTTTCTGTCGCTCCATTGACAGCTACGCAACTACCACTTTCAAGCCCCAGAAAGGTAACAAAGACATTATTAAAGTAATCCATGTGACTCCAGTGGTTTAACCTCAATATTATAAAGCGAAGCAAGTGCTTTGTTTGCGAAAAAAACATAATTTACCACTTTTTTACAAAATATTAATATCCGACACGTCTTTACGAGAGCACAACGCATGCGTGTTGTGTTGACGCGAGAACAGATGTTGTTGCGTGAACGAGCGTTGGAGATAAATATTTTGTAAAATAAAGTAGTAAATTATGATTTTAATTTTATCTTTAATTTTTTTTTTTGCAAACAAAGCACTTGCGTCACTTCATAAAATTGAGATTAAACTGTCACATGGATTACCTTATGATGTCTTTACTACCTTTCTGGGGCTTGAAAGTGGTAGTTGCTTAGGATGTCAATGGAGGGACAGAAAGCTCTCAGATTTCATCAAAAAGATCTTCATTTGTGTTCTGAAGATGAACGAAAGTCTTATGGGTTTGGAACGACATGAGGGTGAGTAATTAATTAATTAGATTTTTCTGGAATTTAAATTTTTAGGTGAACTAGCCCTTTAAGCCGAGCTGACCATATCTAAAGTTGTGGCTGTGGTTTTGGTTTGTTATTTGACAGGAATGAAGAGAGGCTCACCAACACCATCACCAAATAAACCTACACCACACTTACCCAAACCACCAAATCCACCCCATCCCAAAGTACCATTACAGTGAGTCATGTTTACCAAGACACATGCGATACCGTTCAAAAGTTAGAGAACTTTTCTTTTATTCAGAAAAGCATTAAATTGATCAAAAGTGACTGTAAAGACTTTTAAAATAATCAGAGAGATTTCTGTTTCAAGTAAATGCTGTTCTTTTGAACTTTCTATTCATCAACTAATCCTGAAAAGAAATGTATCACGGTTTCCACAAAAATATTAAGCAGCACAACTGTTTTCAGCATTGATAATAATCAGAAATGTTTCTTGAGCAGCAAATCGGCATATGAGAATGATTTCTGAAGGATCATGTGATTCAACTTTGCATCACAAGAATAAATGACATTTAAAAATAGATTCAAGTAGAAAAAGTTATTTTGAATTGCACAAATATTTCACAATATTAGTGTTTTAATGTATTTTTTGGTCAAATAAATGCAGCCTTGATCAGCAAGAGACTTATTTCAAAAGCATTAAAAACTCTTTCAGGCCCCAAACTTTTGAACAACAGTGTAGATACACTGCTATATGCGCTTCTAATGACATCTCCAGCACTCGATGAGAAGTTGTTCAAATTAAAATCTCTGTTTGTCTAGACCGGATCCAACAGCCCAGAATCGTTGTGAGGGAGGTTTCGATGCGGTGGCAAACATCAGAGGAGATGTTTTCTTTTTTAAAGGTACAATCTATGCTGTCTAAAATAACATTTCTTAGAAATTTACAGATTTTGCATAGCTTTAAAAGATTATAATAAAGCTGCTACATGTATTATATTTGTAGCTCTTTTTTATTTAATTTTATATTCATTTAAGTTCATTTATTTTTGTTTCATTTCCTCTGCTTCGGCCAGGTCCATATTTCTGGCGAATCCAGCGGTCTGGATCTCTCGTGTCCTTTCAGCCTGCTCTCATAAAAAACTTCTGGATCGGTCTTCCTCCTGGCACTGACAAGATAGATGCAGTTTATGAAAGAAAGGCGGACAGCAAAATCGTCTTCTTCATAGGTTAGTTTCTTCTTATTCATTTGGGTGCACAATGGAAGAACAAATACAAAGTTCTGTAATGAAACTCTAGATGCCGCAGGCTAATAGGTCCTTAACTCAAACGCTTGCAATCACATCATTCTCTATAGGGCACAGCTGATTGGTTCCTGCTGCATCAGCAGCCAATAAGGCTCGCTGCTCAACTTTCATATACTTGGTTAGCATTTGCCTTAGCAGTGCAGCGTGCTTTCATAAACCCTCCAGCTTCCCCAGCTCCACCTGTATAGATCTGCTACGGGTAAATCATGTACGCTATATTGTACAGCCGCAGCATGTCTTACTTACTCACAGCAGTGTGTCATGTATGTATTGGCCATAGCAAGTCCTGTATTTATTGCAGCTGAAGCAATAACAGCAGCAGCGTAGCAGATCTATTCTGCCAACATCAACGTTGTCATATCCATTACATGCCAAACACTCCAGGCGTTGTCATGTCGGAAATCAGTTTGAAAATGCTTGTTTCTGTTAGTGAATGCATGTAGTAATTTTTTTTCTTTTTTTTCTACATAGGCTCACAGTACTGGGTATTTAAAGACACCATGGCGATTTCTGGTTATCCACGTCCGTTGTCAGACTGGGGGCTGATCTCTCATGATGGAAAGGATGTGAAGAGGGTGGAGGCGGCCTTCACTTGGGCTCATAATGGAAAAACCTACATCTTCAGCGGTGGAGAGTTCTGGAGGTTCAATGAAGGCTCAGGGACTGAGAACCGTCGTCCAGACGCAGATTATCCCAGAGACTCCTCCCTCTGGAAGGGTGTGCCCATTAACCCTGATGACATCATCACCTGGGGAGAGGGTAATTTAGAGAACGTCTGTTTACCTCAAGTGCATTTTCAGCTTAGTATACAAAGGAAGCTTTTGTTATCATATCAATCTAGTGGTCAGTGAGACTATGTTTGTGCACTCACCTAAAGGATTATTAGGAACACCTGTTCAATTTCTCATTAATGCAATTATCTAATCAACCAATCACATGGCAGTTGCTTCAATGCATTTAGGGGTGTTGTCCTGGTCAAGACAATCTCCTGAACTTCAAACTGAATGTCAGAATGGGAAAGAAAGGTGATTTAAGCAATTTTGAGCGTGGCATGGTTGTTGGTGCCAGACGGGCCGGTCTGAGTATTTCACAATCTGCTCAGTTACTGGGATTTTCACGCACAACCATTTCTAGGGTTTACAAAGAATGGTGTGAAAAGGGAAAAACATCCAGTATGCGGCAGTCCTGTGGGCGAAAATGCCTTGTTGATGTTAGAGGTCAGAGGAGAATGGGCCGACTGATTCAAGCTGATAGAAGAGCAACTTTGACTGAAATAACCACTCGTTACAACCGAGGTATGCAGCAAAGCATTTGTTCAATTCAATTCAATTCAAATTTATTTGTATAGCGCTTTTCACAATACATATTGTTTCAAAGCAGCTTTACAGAAAGTGCATTTCAGAAATGTACATAGAAGAATATAGTTAGTTAATCATCATGTATTAATTTAGGGCATAACATTTCGCCGGCGTTGAGTCGTCTCTTCACAGGCGTCGAGTCGTCTCATCGCAGGTGTTGGGGCATCTGAAGTCTCCGTGAGAGGCTGGATACAAACTGGAGCTGACGAACGCTATTTACCTTGGGACTACCGTCCCGAGATTACAGCAGAAAAGCAGATGGGAAATAATTAGCGTAGCTGCTGTTCATAATATTAATGCATTCGATCTGATTCAACAGTGGTATAAAAGGTAAGCATTATGTGAATGCTTGGCTGAAGAGATGCGTCTTTAATCTAGTTTTGAACTGGGAGAGCGAGTCTGAGCAACGAACAGTATCAGGAAGGCTATTCCAGAGTTTAGGAGCTAAATGTAAGAACGCCCTCCCTCCTTTAGTGGACTTAGATATCCTAGGAATGACCAGAAGCCTCGAATTTAGGGATCTTAAAGAACGCGATGGATTGTAGGGGGATAGAAGGTCCATTAAATACACAGGAGCTAAACCATTTAGGGCTTTATAGGTCAGTAGTAGTACTTTGTAATTGATACGGAACTTAATAGGTAACCAGTGCAGAGATGATAAAATCGGTGTTATATGATCATATTTTCTTGACCTAGTAAGAACTCTAGCGGCTGCATTTTGCACTAACTGTAGCTTGTTTATTGAAGATGCAGGACAACCAGCTAATAAAGCATTACAGTAATCTAGTCTCGAGGTCATGAATGCATGAACTAACTTTTCTGCATCAGAAACAGATAGCATGTTACGTAATTTAGCAATGTTTCTAAGGTGGAAAAAGGCAGTTCTTGTAACATATGAAATATGATTTTCGAAAGACAAGTTGCGGTCTAGTATAACACCCAGGTCTTTTACTGTAGTCGATAAGGTAACAGGACATCCTTCTAAATTAAAGTTGTATTGTAAGAGATTTTGTGGGTAGTTTTTTGGACCAATAAGTAATGCCTCCGTTTTATCTGGATTTAATAGCAGGAAATTACACGTCATCCAGCATTTTATATCTTTAAGACATTCTGTCAATTTAGATAAGTTAGTGTTTTCATCTGGTCGTGATGAAATATATAATTGAGTGTCATCAGCATAGCAGTGGAAATTAATTCCATGTTTTCTTATAATATTACCAAGTGGCAGCATATATATTGAGAATAGCAGAGGGCCTAACACCGATCCTTGCGGCACTCCATAGTCTACTGACGTTATCTTCGATTTTTCCCCATTTAAACAGACAAAATGGTAACGGTCCGATAAGTATGATCTGAACCAGCTTAATGCCTGTCCCTGAACACCAGTGTAGTTTTGTAGTCGATCCAAGAGTATTTTGTGATCTATAGTGTCGAACGCAGCGCTAAGATCGAGTAGAACTAGTATTGAGATACAGCCTTGGTCAGAAGCTAAAAGTAAATCATTTGTAATTTTAACTAGCGGAGTTTCTGTGCTATGATGCGGTCTGAATCCTGACTGAAATTTTTCATATCTCATTTTCTTGCAAGAAAGAGCACAATTGAGCGGACACAATTTTTTCCAGTATTTTAGACATAAATGGAAGATTTGAAATCGGTCTGTAATTTGCTAAGTTATTTTGATCTAATTGCGGTTTCTTAATAAGAGGTTTTATTACTGCCAGCTTGAATATTTTTGGAACATGACCTAAGAATAAAGACGAGTTAATAATATTGAGAAGAGGCTCTTCCACTACAGGTAACACTTCTTTCAGTAGTTTAGTGGGTATTGGATCCAATAAACATGTTGTTGGTTTAGATGCAATGATAAGTTTATTTAGCTCTTCCTGTCCAACAGTTGTAAAGCGGTGTAGTTGTTCTTGAGGGGCGATAATTGAGGCTGTATCACAAGACACCATAGAGGATTGTACATTTACAATTGTATTTCGGATGCTTTCTATTTTCTCATTGAAGTAATTCATAAAATCATTACAACTATACTGTAACGGAATATTTTGCTCTGGCGATGTCTGTTTATTTGTTAGTCTAGCCACGGTGTTAAAAAAAAACCTTGGATTATTTTTGTTATTTTCTATTAGTTTGCGGAGATGCTCTGCCCTGGCTGTTTTTAGAGCCTTTTTATAACGAGACATACTGTCTTTCCACGCGATTCTAAAGACCTCTAAATTAGTTTGTTTCCATTTACGCTCTAAGTTACGAGTTTCTCTCTTGATAGCATGTGTAGTACTATTGTACCATGGTGCTTTAGTTTTCTCTCTAACCTTTTTCAATCTAATTGGTGCAACAATATCTAATGTACTAGAGAAAATGGTGCTCAAACTGCTGGTCATTTCCTCTAGTTCATCTGTTTGTTTGGGTTCACTGAGCAGCTGAGATAGATCAGGTAAGCTATTTGAGAATCTATCTATAGTGATGGGAAGGATTGTTCTGCCTGGTCGATAACGCGGCGCAACATGACAAATTTCAGCAGTACGTATTATGCACGTTACCATGCAATGATCAGTGAGATCGTCACTTTGCGGTATAATATCTATATCGGTTGGATTGGTTCCGTATGATATAATTAAATCTAGTGTATGATTTAGACGATGAGTGGGACCACTGACGTTTTGCTTGACCCCAAAGGAGTTTAATAAATCTGTAAACGCAGTCCCTAACGCATCATTTGTTTTATCTACGTGTATGTTAAAATCTCCAACAATTATTGTTTTATCGGCATTGACCAATAGATCTGAGAGAAAGTCTGCAAACTCTTTTAGGAAATCAGTTTAGGGCCCTGGCGGTCTATATACAGTAGCCAGGGCTAGAGATAATAGGGATTTCTTTCCTACATCTAAGAGCGTAACATTTAGCACAAGTACTTCAAACGAATTAAACCTGTGACCTGTTTTCTGAGTAACATTAAGAATATCTCTATAGATTGTTGCAACACCGCCGCCACGACCGATCAGACGGGGCTCATGCTTATAACAGTATCCTGGCGGAGTAGACTCATTTAGACCGAAATACTCATTTGGTTTAAGCCAGGTTTCAGTAAGGCAAAGTACATCGAAGCTATTATCTGTGACCATTTCATTTACAATAACCGCCTTAGGTGGAGCGATCTAATGTTTAGAAGACCTAGTTTTAGAAATTGTTTTTGTTCACTGATATTTAGATTTTCTGGTTTAATTACAATAAGATTTTTCCTAGATCCTACACTAGATTTATTGTTTGGCCTCACTAGACGAGGAATAGACACAGTTTCTATATAATGTTCTACACTACTTATATCAATTAAGTTGGGACAGCAAAGACTGTGAATTGGACTTTGACTTACTAGTCAGATGGTGTGCAACGTCTTGGAGATGTTGTCCGACAGAACACCCGCTCCGATTCTGCTGGGGTGCAGGCCATCAGCACGGTAGAGCCTAGGTCGCTCCCAGAACAGATTCCAATTATTTACAAAGAGCAGTTTCTGTTCATTACACCATGACATTAACCATTCATTTAGAGCAAATAGTCTACTGAACCTTTCTTGTCCTAGTCGGTACGTGGGAAGCGGTCCAGACACGATGATCGTTGCCTCAGGCGCTGTGCTGCGTACCGTCTCGATTAGGCTCCTGTAGTCCTTCTTCAGAACCTCCGTCTGCCGCAGCCTGATGTCGTTCGTTCCCGCATGGAGGACAACGGCTCAGACGCGCTCGTCACCGTTCAGGATCTCGGGAACCTGTGCGGCGACATCAAGAACACGAGCACCAGGAAAGCAGTGAGTGCGCACCTTACCCTTACCTGAGGTAGCGCGGACATGACGGACCATGGAAGTGCCGATGATCACGGCGTCGTCGCGTTCCGACTCGCGAAGAGGGGAGAAGCGGTTCCGGGTGGAGATCTCGAAGACCGGGAGGGGCGGAGAGGTTCTTGCTCTGGTCCTGGCTCGTGTCTTCCGCTGTGGGATCACCCAGGGTCCATGGTGCTCTGTCGGTGCCAGAGTGAATGAAGCCAGAGATGATTGCGTCCTCCTGGGCAGAGAAACGCACGGAGTAGACGAAGTCGGAGTCAAAAAGTTACTAACCACTGACTTGTGAGCATCGGCGCGTGACGTTTCAAGCGCTGATCGCCGATCCCGCAGCTCGGCTTGCCTCTCCAGCAGACCACGGATCTGTTTCTCCACCGATTCCAGCTCCAATCGTACCGAAATCAGCTCGAATGTGTCCTCACCTGCACTCAGAGGTAACGTTAGACACACATCCGATATGTTCGCCATTATAACAGATGAACAGTAAATTAGCAGTGATACTACCAATATCACTACTAATTTAGGACTGGAATGCTGGATATAACCTTTATCCTTTCAGTGAAACG